TCTCGGTTTGCACCCGCCACCGGCTTGCCTGCGCCCGCCTGCTCCAGACCGCCTGCCCGCCACCTCCCGCGCCCGCCCCACCTCCGCCCGCCGCGCCCACCCGATCCTCCCCCGCCACCGCGGCCGCCCGCGCCCGCGCTCCCCGCGCCCCCCCCGCCCGCCCACTCCGGCGACCCCCCGCCGCGCCCCGCCACCGCTGCCCTCCGTACTCCCTGCCCGCACCCGCCCCACCCATGCCCCTGCACCGCTCCCAGCCACCGCCCGCCCATACCGGCTACCCATTCCCGGCCGCCCTCTGGCTCCCTCCCACCCCACCCTGCCTGCCCGCCTCCTACCCGTCGAGCTCCTGGCGCCCGCCCGCCGGGATTTAAATTCCCGGCGGCGACGGGCGTCGAATTTAAAGGAGGCGCAGGGAAGTTGGGCGTCCCACCCCGTCGAGCGCAAAGTGCGCACTTCGCGCCTGGCCGCCCACCGCCGCCCGCTGGGCGATACCGCGGGCGGGCGCTCGCGTCGCCGCTGCCGGCGCGGGTGGAAACCGGGGCTCCGCGCCCGCTGCCACGCGAGAGCCGCCACGTGGCGGGGAATCGGATTTGCGCGTCGATGCTTTCGAAGAGGGTTACGGAGGAACACTGGTCTTCCGAGCATTGTCTTCAAGGAAGGAGCACTGAAGGATTTCTGCGACTGTAAATCGCGAAACAATTTGTTCTATAAATATGCTAACATTTTAGTACAATAAAATGGTTTGTTATAAAACTAAATAGATAGTACGAAATCCATACTTTTGGCTTATTGTAACACTTTATTTTCAGAACAGCGTCATTTTGGAAAGACGATGTTTGTGGTCGATTACTGACACCAGGGACGCCAAATAAATAGGAATTCAATTGTTCCGACGCTGTTTCGGAAAGAGTAGAGGGTGTTTTCTAGCGCAGTTTTCCTGGAACTTAAGAAATGTTTGATCCGGGTATAAACTGTGGATCTAATACGTAATAAGCTCGTTATTTTCATAAAATATCAAATACGATCCTATAGCTTATGTAGACACAGGCGGTGGTTTGCGCGGGTTCTGAATGGGGACTCACAAGTCGGACTGGCGATGCGAAAGCCGCCCAGAAACCGGGAATCCATGACTCGCTTCGAGACTGTTTCGGAGCTGGAGCTGCAGTTTTGGAGCGTGGTCTTCGATAAATATAGAGGAAGGTTTTGAGGACACAAAATAAGTGCTACCAGGGGGAATTTTTAAGACAATTTGTGGAAAATTTAATTTCTTCTTCTTCATATTATTATTGTTATTATTATTGTTGTTATTATTATTGTTGTTATTATTATTTTTATTATTATTATTGTTGTTGTTGTATTATATTGTATTATACGCACTAATGACCACGCAACACATTTCTCACTCCGAGGCCCAGTTGTATTCTATCCTGCAGATTTCAACGTGTGGAATTATGGGGAACAGCCTTTCGGTTGCATCCTTTGACTACCACAAGGTTGTTAGTCTTGAATTAGGGAGGATAGAATGTTGTTATGAATATTATTATAACAATAATTATTATTATAATAATTAATATTGTTATCATTATTATGATAGGATGATACTAAGGGATGAATGGACTAAGGAAGTTGGTAGGATGGCTTAGGTGGGGTAGTGGGAGGTGGACGGTGTTCGTGGGATTTGTGGAAGCATCCGAGCATTCGCTTGTGATTGAGGGAAATAACTAGACCCCCATCAGAATTGTTGACCCGGGGATCAAACCCATACCTCTTGACTGCAAATCCAACGCACTATACGCTGGATCTGAGAATCCAACGCACAACGAAACTACACTCGGTTAAATTAAGTTAATATACATTTTTATTTCTAAAAGGCAAGATTCACGATGGACTGTCGATATGATAGACGCCAAGTCTGAAGAGGTTTTTTGTCCTTATCGGTTTCAGGGAAGTTTCTGGAGAGAGGATTGAACTTTAGTATTTTGTTGGTGGGGCGTAGCAAAGAAGGAAATAATCTTTATCTCTTTTTAAAAAACGTGACATCCAATGAAAGGTGTTAATCCCATATCTGAGACTTCGCTTTTTTTTGAAACGTTTGGGATTTTATTTGGGCACTTTCGGGGACCTTTGTTTGCAGGTTGACATGATTTATGAGAGGAGAAGTCTATTATTGTCGGGCATCTATGACGGGAATTTCTTTCGTCTGTGATAGATATCGGGTAAAAAAATAAGCATATAGGAGTTGTCAAGCTATTGTGGCTTACATAGACAGACATTTGTTTTCAGGTTTGAGTTATTTCTAAACATGAGATCAGTCCATTCGAAAATCCTCAAGCGACAGCTAATCGATTGTTCTTGTGATCAGATTTGATGATTTTAGGGACGAGAGATTGAATTTGGAGGATTGTCTTTGAGGGACGTACTATTCTAGAAATCCATCTTCACAATTTTAAAAATGTATCTCTTCTTCTCGTATTTGTGGCTCATATTGACAATATATTTTCAATTTATTGTTACACCTTATTTAATTACTTTTTCTCCAGAATATCAATGCTTCTCTATTGGTACCCTAGTGGACAAAATAAAGTGTTTCTATTATTAGTAGAATAACAATGGTAAGAGCTTTTCATCAGCGAAAATCTTCGAACTGAGCTACCGTCTTCTGAATATCTAAATAACATGAGAAGTTTGTTGCTATTCCAAATTTCATCTTCAACTTTCACTTAATGTGGTAAAGAGAGAACCAAAATTATATTTTAATTTTTTGCTGTTCATGTGTATTTCAATTTAAAAAAATATATTTAGCTCAATTAATATTTCTTCTGAAAATGAAAATTGTCTATGAAAATCTCTTATGCTCTTTCTTTTATATTATTTTAATTTTCTAAAAGTATCCTCGACATATCAGATGTGGTTGCAAATATGAAGATAGCTATGTTGAATTGATAAAATCGTAACATAATTGATACAAGATTGATTCAATTCAGTTTGTAATTCATTTTGTAATAAAATATGCCTTCCTAACACTTACCTCCACTCAAAGTTGATTAAAATTATTTTCTTTTAAACTACTTTTATTTTTTATTGTCTGCCTTTGTGTTGTGATATAGATTCCGATTACCGTGACTTTGTCTTTTTTGCAACCCCAATTCAATAACTGACTTCGCTATCTCTTCTAGAGCATAAATTGGAAGTGGATTCGAAGGTCGTTCAAACCGGGATATTCTTTATGCTTTATCATGTGATCCTATAATCGGCTGATGCTTTTATCCGTCTGAGTATTAATTAAGTGGTTCTTGTTTCGCCTCTACATCACGCAAAGTCAAGGCCCTTCAGCGGAGCACAAAGTTGGTCGCTATAAAACTTGTTATATCCTTGCATTTCTTTGGAAGGCTGATAAAGATTAGGACCAGGGCGCAATAACTCTTGTTGATTCGTTCTCAGAAACCTATAGATTGGTTTATTCGTCTTAAAATAACGACTGTAATTTCATAGATGTAATAAAATAGATGTGCATCTTATTGAAAACACAACGTGAATAATAATTTCCTTTTGAAGTTACCTACACTGTTATTAAGATTCAAACATACGTATAATAAATTGTGAGGGAAGTAGTATGAATTTTACTACTGCAAAACTATATTTACGACACAATTGTTATTATAATAATAATTAATTATAAATAACATTATTATTATTATTATTATTATTATTATTATTAGGATTGAAGTGACATGGTGTTGATGAGGGGTGAAAGGACTAGGATGATGGTGGCAGGTGAGGTAGTGGGAGGTGGGAGGTGTGAGTATGATTTTTGAATCATCCCAGTTTTCGCCGAAGAGAAACCACGAATTACTACGGTCAGGATGGCCGGCCCGAGGATCGATCCCGGACCTCCCTTTTGCGAATCCAGCGCGCTACGCACTGGCCCACTTCGCTCGGTATTATTATTATTATTATTATTATTATTATTATTATTATTATTATTATCATTAATAATAATATAATTGAATTTATTACCATTTCTTATATTCATTTGTTCACTCTAGTTTTCTCATTCGGTTAGGATGAAAGCTTGTTTCTTCGTCTATTATTTGTATTCCAATTGTTCTTATTACATTAGCCGAAACGCTTCTTTAGCAGTTCCAGGGAGAAAGAAAATATACGTTGTGATGTATTGCAATAAAGATTACCGTGAAACATAATCCCATATTCTCAGCACATGACCAGCACTATAATACAGAAATCACAAGAAACCAATAGAAATGTTTCTCTTCGCTCTGTGGATCAGTACAACACTGAAATACAGCGTCTAATTACACAAAATAATGATAACAACTTGCTTGTAAATGTGAAATGAAATGTGTTAAATTGTATCAATTTGTTTCTTCGATGTATACTTGCGAGTAATGTACATATCAACTTTCGTTGTATTTCACAGTCCTTTTCACTAAATATTTTTTGAGAAATTCCTTTGCTTACATTTTCATCGATGAGAAATCTATTTCTTTTTAATGTTTGGGATTCAACTCTCACTGAATTAAAAGTGAAAAAATATCGTTTAAAGGTTTGTAGGCTCTTAATGTCGTATTTACTAAAGGCACTGAGGTAGGTATTGAATTTTTAGGCTGACCCTGACCTTACAATTAAATGTTCGTCAATTTCCATTCGTATCTTACAATCTTCCTCGTTTGAAGGTTATATTTGCTATTTGTTATTATTAATTAAGAAATGATTATTACATGTTCACTGTAACTATTAAATCTCTACAGCTTTGTGAGAAAGTTAATACGCTATTATTTCGAGATGAGAAAGTCCTAAAGAGTTGTATGTGCTTTCGCTTTCTATTGTAATTACAAAATTCACTGAACTACCTTTTGTTGTCTTTGCAAGTCTTCTCTCGCGAACACACCGTTGACAACATCACAGGTGAAACCAGTGGCGAGATACAGCTCCACAACGGCACGCGCGATGCCTTGCATGAAGCAACGGCGGCGTCTTACCTGTTGTCCGCTCCCCAGTAGCCAGCAGCAGCTCCTGCAACAGAAGGAGAGCGACCGTCAGTGCGATGGCAGGGTTACGCCTTGCGATGCGCGCCCTAAGGCGAGGGCGCCCGACACACCCCGAAAGCGGTGGGCGGGCCCGCCTGCCAAGCGACGAGCAGCGCCGACGAACCTCGATTGCAGCAGGCGGGCGCGTCTCGAGGTTTCGCCTCCCGTTGGGATAATTGCGAGCGAGTAGCAGCGCGAGGAAATGCCTCCGGTTCATTATTGTTTTGTATCTGCCGCACCCAGTTGCGAGGCCGCCGACAACCATTGGTTACGATCAAAACAGAGAGCGCGGACTGCCGCCGGGACACGATGATGAACGTTTTAGATAGCCGAGAGTAAATAAATTATAGTAATGATTTCCTCCGTGTGTGAATAAGTGAGTTGCTTGTTGCACACGTTTCTCGCATCTGATCGAGATCGCTTATCCGCGGAGCACAATTGAGTGGTTTATGGTAATTGAAATTCAATCAAATTATGCAAATTTTTAAGATATTCTTTTCAAATGAAACTAATTTATCAAATTCTATTCTAATTTAAAAACAAAAATCAACAATTCAATACAGTAAATTAATAGCATTCAATATATAAGTTGAGGGTCATTTAGATGAGACCGAAGCATTTGCTCCTATTGTGGCATATCAACAAAGATCATACGAAACAATTTTGTGAAGTGTCATGCTTTTGTTGGAGAACGATGGATAGCGATAAAGTGATAATAAATAAATGCAAATAATAAAAAACAATGAGATTGCGAAGTAACTTCGAAAAATACGTATTACATTGTTGGTGCTCGCGTCTGACCGGGTGCGCCGCGTAATGTCAAGGACCTCGTGCCGTGGATACATACTTCACTAAACTAATTACATTGTTCCTTCACATGTAATAGCTGTTAACATACCTCGAAATGTTTTAGTGTTATTACTGCTGATGCCGAAAGTTAAAAATGGAGACGGAGCGTAGCGGAGCCGAGACTTCTTTTGTTGCGGCACGATAATCGATATTGTTGGGTCTTGCATGCGATATATCTATTTCAACAATACACTTGTATACCGTGGCTCGAGGAAGACGGAAATTCGTCTGTACCTCAAGAATTTACCAAATATTTATTTTTCAAACTGCACAATTAATAACATTATAATTAATAATGAACATCCCCATAAATAAAGCGTTTCTTTGATTACTATTTGTTTTGTTAATTACCATGTGATTTTTTCATAATAATGTTGACTTGCGATTAAGGTTGGTTGTTTATTTAGGTTACTATGTTAAAACCAGTTTCTAAGGATTTTATATTTCTTAACCTCCATGTACAAGTGCTCTTAACAAACTTATAGAGTTGCATGTTAACAAGGGTTAAAGACGCATGTGACCGATACATATAAATAACTAGGGTTAGTTGACTCTTTGCAATAAATATGACGTTGTTGTTACTTTCCCCATGTGAGCAAAATGTTATATCTAGACACATGTCAGCCTTTGGATTCCGTTCAGTTGGTGCTGATTCTTTCACAAAAGGAGTCGCGCTAATCCGTGGACATATAAGTACGAAACTGCGATGTAAATATTAATGGATCCAATTCGAAGACACCGTTATTGGGTTCGGTTTCCTTTCATACTCGCGTATTTGGAATCAGACGGCGCAGGCACGAAAGATATGCGTCCGCACGATTCTCTTCAAGCGCTGGACAAGATTTTCTTGTGTGGTGACAAAAGATGGTGCCGCACCGCCACCACAACAGACGTCGCCACCAACAACGCGATCACCACCGCTGCCACAACCCTCTCCGCGTCCGCCCCCGCCCCCGCCTCCGCCCCCGCCGCCACCTCCGGCCCCACCGTCCGCCGCCACTCCGCCCCCACCTCCGCCCCACCTCCGCCCCCGCCTCCGCCCCGCCTCGTCTCCGCGCCCACCTCCCGTCTCCCCCCCGCCTTCCCGTTCCGCTTCCGCCTCCGCCCCCGCCTCCGCCCCGCGCCCCGCCCTCCGCCTCCTCTGACGCCTCCGCCTCCTTGCCGCGCCCACCTCCACACCGCCTCCGCTCAGTCACGCCATCCGTCGCCAACCCCGCTTCATCCGCGGGGCACGTCCGGTCACGGGGGCCTTCCTGGCCGATCCGGTGTTCAAATGGCCACTTGCACCAGCTGCCACCACCTCCAGCTACCATCCCTACCCCTTTACCGCCACAGCACCCTGTAGCAACATAGTCGCTATCACCGTGGTACAGAACCCCTGACAGAGTCCGCCTCCTTGCCTGTTGCGCATCTCCGCCAACCGCCTGGTTTCATCAAAGCCGCACTGCCGCCCCATCCCGCCCCGGTATCGCCCGCTGCCCACCCGCCACCGCTCCCCGCCTCACCGGCTGCCCCGCCCTCAACTCCTGCACCGTCCGCCCACGCCCGCACCGCCCTTATTGCCTCCCGCCCCGCCATTCCCCGCCTCTCCGCCCCCACCACCCCCGCCTCTCCGCACCGGCCGTCTCCGCCCCGCCCAGCACCACCGCCACCACCGGCCGCTGCTGTTTCCTCCTCTCGGCGCCTTATCGACTCGTGCCACGACGAGCTCCCGAACTAGAGAGCGAAGTCGTTGAGGACACCACACGCGTCTTCCGTATCATCCGATCGCTGTTCTCACTTCTCAGCTCGCCACCTGCGCTTTGACGGAGCGGCTGCGCCTCCTCGCTTATGGCTGCTGCGACACGCGACGTTTTCACGAATCGGAGGCGACTCGCGGATATTTTACAAATTCGTTTCGTTGTAATTTTTAGAATTGGTAATACGTACATGACGGTTGTAACTGTTTCAGTATGGTTTAAAAATATATAAGTAGTTTGTATGATTTGGCATATTCAAACATCCCCGTTAACTGTTCCTTTTCTCCCTCACTGAGAAAAATTGCGCTGTATAACGTAATGGATTTAAAAACAATTGGAACGGACAGTAAATATTTTCAATTAAAATATGCGCACGTTGTGTTCAGTAATTTGTAGCAAAGAGGACGTTTGGTGGCAACATATTGTCTTTAGATCTTACAATAATCTTGCTTCGGATTATAATTATAACATAAAGTTAAGAGACATTGCCTGTAAATTTAGTCAATTAAAGTTGTAGTAAATGAAGTATACTTAGAGTTTAATCAAGATCACGTGATTATTAATAATTCGGTCTTAATTTGTTTTCGTAATGACATAGATTTTTTCCGATAATGCTGTGTGTTTATAGAATATTGTATTCTAAATGGTGTGGAATTGCATTAGACAACGTAAAGCTGTAATTGTAAGAAAAGTTGTGTGTGACAAAGCCGTGTTGGACACAATTAATTATGATAATAATACATTTAAACTGCACAATTAAAAACTTGGTTAAAAAACGTCAATTGGGCACTATAACTAGTTTTAGCAGGAAATATTTTTACTCTTTTCCTTGTATCAGGAGGTTGGCGGTGGGATCTTTCCGCCACTGGATGGCGAGAACCGGCGCGACCTACTCGACGATTTGGCGGAGTTCTTTCCTCAACGCATGCGACGAGCGGACTGAATTGACCATAACTACATACGTCAAAATCCTTCCCGGCGGCGCACAGCTAGGATTCGAACCCTAGTCCTGCCTAGTTCAGTGGCACTGCAATGGGACATCAGAATTGAACTCTGAGCCACATATGCCGATTCTTAGCAGAAAATGGGCAAATCTTTCCCCCTGTACTTTTGGCCTCATTGGAATGAATTGGCAATATAATAATATACTATTATCAGAACTTCAAAATATTTAGGCCGGTGTCGTGACCGGTGTGTGACCGGTGTGTGGCCGGTGTGTGGGGCCGGTGTGTGGCCGGTGTGTGGCCGTGTGTGGCCCGGTGTTGGCCGGTGTGTTGCCGGTGGTGTGGCCGGTGTGTGGCGGTGTGTGGCCGGTGTGTGGCCGGTGTGTGGCCGGTGTGTGGGCCGGTGCGTGTGGCGCGGTTGTGTGGCCGGTGCTGTGGCCGGGTTGTGTGGCCGGTGGGTGTGGCGTGTGTGGCGGTGTGTGGCCGGTGTGTGGCCGGGTGTGGTGGCCGGGTGTGGCCGGTGTGGTGGCCCGGTGTGTGGCCGGTGTGTGGCCGGTGTGTGGCGTGCTCCGCCCAGGCGGCGCAGTGGCCTTGTGGGCGCGTGGGAGCGCGATGGCGGGCGGGCAGCGGCGCCCCGCGGGGCGGGCAAAGTGGTGCGCTGTGGTCACCTGCCCCATTCAGATCCGGGGGTGCGATGGACGTAAACGGCCGCTCTGACGTCTTCGGCGCTCTGTCTCCCTTGATATCCGTCGGTCAAGACCCGTTCTCCGCTCATCCTTCTTGGTCGAGCGTCCCCTTCGGGACGAAATGTCCCGTCACCTGCTTAAAAGCGGTAGGCAGTAAAAGACAGGGGCCACAACCCGGTGCAAGAGTGACGGGCGATGGACCGGTTCGCGAATGTGATTTCGTGGCGAAGAGGGGAGAGGGGTCGCGCTGGCGCCGACCTGAGCGAACTCTAGGGCAATGTGCGAACGCGCGTCTGCGGACCGTCCGTCCGCACTCGCTGCCACCCTCGTGATGCTGATGCGGGCAGCGTTTGCCGCTGCGCCCACTTTTCTTTGCACCCTGCTACGCCGGGGCGCGCTAAGCCGGGGCCGCCGGGCCATCTCGCTCTAAGCCCAGAGTGTAGCGTTCCATGTCCGATCACGGGTCGCCTAACAGAGAGGAACGTGAATTCCGCTGTGCCGAGACCAGAGGCTAAATCTACCGTCACACAGATCTGCATGGAAAATCAAGTATAAAGATAATAAATTTTTTTATTGATACTCTAATATGCTTTTACCTCCCACCTGATTGCGAATTCAGTTGGATACTGATGAAAAAGAACAAAATATTTGTTGGTGATGTTCCTATACAGATATAGGCCGGACTGGTCTCTTCGCTCTCTCTGGCGCTTCCTCTTGTTTTATTACATTTCCTCACAACAACTACATCGTTTGATCTATATTTCTTGTGTGCTTATCTTGCAAGGGCAAAGAAGTTCAAGTGAAATGTAATTTAAACCCTAGACGCCCACCGTCCGCGCTGTCTCGTTATCAATTTTTCCCGCCACAAGGGGCGCGACCTAGTCAAGCCCTTGCGTTCGACACCCTGTCACCTACAATATTACTCAATAATCACAATTTGATTCATTGCCCACACAGACCCGTCGTCTCTCGTGTCCTGTCTACCAATCGTTCCTCTCTCTACTCATCTCTCCTGGGCACTCTCCTCCCTCTCACCTAACTCTTTTCAATCCATCACTTCTCTTCGTCTCACCTCTCCTCCTCACTCTCTACTCTCACTTCTCTCCCACATCTCGCACTCTCGTCTCACTACATCACTCTCTCTCTCGCGTCCACGGGCCACACATCTCGGTGCTTCACGTCTCTCACTGCTCTCTCTCACTCTCTGCTCTCTCCCTCTCTCTCTCACTCTCTCTCTCTGCCCTCTCTCTCACTCTCTCTATCTCTCACTCTCTCTCTCACTCCTCTCTTCTACTCTCTCTCTCACTTCCTTCTCTCACTCTCTTCTCTCTCACTCTCTCCTCTCACTCTCCTTCACTCTCTCTCTCTCACTCTCTCTCTCTCTTACACACACACACACCACACACACTTTATCTCTATTTTTGGATCAGAATGGAAGAATCTCTAGCTCTCATTGTTGAAATGTAGTTTAAATTTCATAACATGAGTCCACTAAATTAAATGATCAGAAAACGTTCTACCCAAATAATACATATCTAATACTTCAAGGGCGTGCCACGAAAGTAATTAATAAGCAAATGTGAATATAAACTTTCAAGACTTAAGACCACGGTGTCGCCCTACAACTAACCAATTACTCAGTAAGTAATTATTTATTGGTAAATTCAATGAGTAATGTGGGTTAATTAATTTTTTTGCCGCAAATGAGATACTTGGAGGTTTTGCAAACCAACCTTTATTTCTCTTGCATTCCACAGATGAAATTCGCTCTCGTGGTTTTTATTTTTTCACATTTTTTTATTTTTCACACGTCTCAAATGGCTGGAAGGATCATGTTCTCATCAAGGACGTTGTTGAACAACTGAACAGGTGAAAAAAAAGTAGATGAGTTTTTAATTCAAACCAGTTTGCCTTTTGCTTCGTCCAAGCAGGTGTAAACCGCAAGGCTTTCCACGGTAAGTTGTATAGCAAGCCAAAGTGTTTGAGTCACTGGCACTTCGAATTAACAGTGAGTGGTAGTTAGGAAGACCATTATTCTGAAATCAAATATAACTTCGAACTATAACCTTAGAAACGTTTGTATTTCACGTGTTTTCAATATTTAACGCCATGGCCGGGTCCATTTACAAAGCCAGCTCTTCTATCACCAACCGATCTTCCGTCCTCGTGTCTCCTGCTCATGGCCTGCGCCTGCCGTTTGAAATGATGGGCGCCGCTCAAATGCTGCACACGCTTCTCGGCCTTCTCGGCAGTCCCCTCCTCCTCCTCTCCCTCCTCCGGCCTCTTTCCATCCTCCTCCACATCGCGGTTTCCTGCACCTCTTCCAGCTACTCATAGCGGCATCCTCCGTTTTGTTTATTTGTTTTTAGGCAATCCCAGGAACGTCAACGTATAGGATCACTCGTCCCGTCAGTGTATGCATGTTTTTTGCTAAGGGATGTGGCGGCGATCTTTCCTCGTCGTCGGCTACGCGGGTCGGCAGGCGGGAGTTTTTCTCAACCAGTTATCTCTCACAGCGGGGCACCGCCCAGCCGGACAAGCTGTATGCTCCGACCGGTCTCCCGCTACGTGGTGGTGGTGTAGTGATGTAGTGTAAGTGTATGTGTAAGGGAGAGGATAGGACATGAAGAGAGATGATCGCCCGCGGTCCGTGGCCCGTTTTGTTAGGGTACTGCTGTCCTGCATTCGCCTTGATATTGATCGGAGAAACGCACGGAAAACTAACTTATTGGAACAACCAGCGCGCCAGAATTCGACTCCGCGGCTCCAGCCGTCGTTCGCTTCTGCACGCCTCCGTCTGACGTCACTTGGGCGGCGGTGCGCCGTGAACGGCTCGGCGTCGCCGGCCGTCGCTCCTCCCGCCGTCGCCCTTCTTCCGCCGTCGGCTTGCTCCGGCGTTTCGCTTCTACGCGCAGCGGCGCCTGGCGTCACGGTGAATGGGGAC